TTTCCAAGAACGTATTACCTCTAATAATGACTTCATTTCTGTTGTTCCTGGGATAATGCACGATTATTGTGAAGCCTAACACTATCCCGATGATAATTCCAACTTCCATCTTTCGTCCTGTCGTTTATATTCAGTCATGCGCGACCAGCGCATCTCTCCGGATGGCCAGACATACGCAGAATTTTGTGCTTTGGGTCTGGGTTGCATAATTATAAAATTTATCTTCGCGTGTAAACCCTGATTATTACCTTTGAGTTTTGAAATGCAGTGTAATCACATTGGTCGGTTCCGCCATCTAGCTCAGTTCCGATAAACAACTGCACCGAAGTGCAGTTAATCCAGACACTACAACTCACGTCACCAGGACAAAGTTAACTGAAAATATTGGGTAAAATAAGCTAACACACAAATGGAATATAAGCTAAAAATCTACCAAATTCTCCTTAACATTCAAATGCATTAAACAGAATTCGCTAACACCATTACGGATGCATTGTTCGGTGGCATCTCCGGGCACTAACGTGGGGTTCATCCTGAGGTCCCCGATCCACGGATGTAGCCGGGTGTCTTAGAAAGATGATTACATTTACTTTTAATGAGTTCCGATAAGTAATGCACTGTCCTTGACTAATATTCTCACACCAAACAGGTTGGAGGGTACACATTACTTTTTTCCTCCAAATGGCAAACGTCGTAAGGTTTTTTTTATCACATTATGACAATAGTCTGAGCGTACATTATTCGAAATTGTAGGTTTTTTTTGACTTCATCCTACCTGGTTACTTGGCGTGTTGTTGGCGTACTCACTGTCGGCTTCTGCTACTGGGGGTATTGAGCTCGATGAACCAAAGCAATTCACAGAAACCTTGATAAGTAGTTCATTTACCACTGAATATTTGTTATCCCCTTCGTACCTATGTACCTATGTACACACAAAAATTTATTTCCAGATTTTGCGTATAAATGTGCACATATACTCATTTGCGAGATTTACATAGATCAGAACATTCCATCCACTATGTTAAGGAATCTGGCACATCACTACCAACGCAAACAATATTTTTTGGATCAAAATTCTTGCTTGTGTGTAAATTGAATGTTACGCCGATCTCAACATTGGCATTTCGTTTGATTTCTGTTAACTGATTTCCTGATGCCCCTGAGTCCATCGCAATGAGGCTGTATCTTACCGTGGTGCGATGGTTTGGGTGCTTCAGAGATCCGTTTAGCTATGCTGGGTGGTGTTATTTTGCACCTTCCGAGCCACTCATACCAGATTGGTCAATCGTTAGAGGCCAGACAAACAACCTCCTGATCCTCCAGGTTGACGGTTGCAATGAGCGTGTCTCCTTATTCCTTAAATCATCATCATCATACACGTTAGCTAGAGGTAAGGAACACCTCAGCTACTGTGCCGCAATACACAGAAAATGGAGAAAAAAAAGGAATTCAACTGGGACAAGTCGGCTGAGCTACCTGTAACGGATAGGCATCGTTCCGGTAAACTACAAGCCGGCTACTATGCATCAAAAAAAATTACTATGCAAAATTATATAAGGCTAAATAATGAGATCGTGGTTGGAGGGGGAGGCTAAGAGGGATGGGGTGGGACAAAGAAACTTATTCCTTAAGACGAACTCCTTATAGCCCAACGCCAAACCCGCTGCCAGGTCGTAACTGGTATGGCGGTGGAAGATGATCCGGTAAACTGTCGATCACGCAGATCCGCGGCTGTCACCCATGGCGAAGTGGCACTACTTGCTGGCATCCTGAAGTCATGGGGGTGGAATCCGGCATGCGTCCGCTGGGAGGCGCACCACTGACGAGACCCAGTAAGTCGAAACGCCGGCGTCCGGCGCTTTTCCAGACTAGCCTACGCCTGCTGATTTGGAGTAACGATGATGAATCTGCTAACAGGTGTCTGTTCCATATCGCTGGCTATGCACCCACAAACTCTAGCGATGATTCGGTAAAAGACGACTTCTATCGCCAATTGAACGAGCTCCTTCGCCACAGAAGAAGTTCGGACACTGTTGTGCTGGCGGGGGATCTGAACGCTCAAGTTTGCAAATTATCCACTGGTGAACTGCGCCTGAGCGGGCAACATTTTATAGGCTCCCGTAATGATAACGGTGAGCGGTTGCTTCATTTGTGTGCGGATGCTCGCTCATTCCTTGCGAGCATCAATTTCCGACACAGCACCCGCCGGAGGGTTACTTAGCGCCCACCAGCCTCTAACCAGCTATGGACGCAAATGGACCACGTTGCGATAAGTTACCGATGGAGAGGCTGCGTCCAGAACTGTCGCTCGATTTGGATCATAGATGTGGACACCGACCATGCACTTGTATGTGCTGACCGGCGAATGCGCTTTGGCGGACGCCCACGACGACGTGAGCGCATTGACGCCAGCCAACTGGCGAAACCGGCTATTCTGACTGCCTACCAAAGTACGCTATCATGCGAGTTGAGTAAGCACTCACTGGTCTCATATTCATCAGACCTTACTAGCAGCAGCAAAATCCTCATGTGGTAAGTCTAATCGCCAGTATAGACATTGGGTCTCTTCTCAGTATCTGGAACTTACCGATGCTCGCCGGCAGATTCCGACTGGAAGCATACACAGTGAAACTCGCGAAGAGCTCCGGTCAAAACTCCGTGCTAGCCTGAAGAGAGACCGCGAATCCTGGTGGTCTCATCGTGCATTAGAGATGGAAATGGTCGCTGCCCTTGGTAACCATCGTAAGTTATTCCGACTGATACGGGAAACGGGCAGCAAGAGACCTGGTGTTAGTGAAACTATACGTGACGAAAGTGGACAGCCTATCCACAACTTGTCAAAACACTTGGAACATTGGGCTTCGCACTCTGAAAGGCAATTTAATCGGTCGGAATTGTTAGATTTCTCGCTGGCCACTGATCGCCTCTCTCCGTGGCCTGTTACTTTGGATACGCCTTCTCGTTCAGAAGTCGAACGTGAGATTGAACTGTTGAAGTTAAATAAAGCCGCGGGACCAGATGATCTTCCTCCAGCCCTCTTCAGATTCGGGGGACCTGCTCTTGTGGATGATTTATACGAGTTACTAGTGAAATTGTGGGAGCAGGAAACTGTCCCAATCGACTGGAGCCGCTCCGTCATAGTCCCAATTTTCAACGGATGCTCACGATCAGAATGCGACAATCATAGATGAGTCAGTCTGATCTCGCTCGCCTCCAAATTGCCTGCTTCTGTCATCCTTCACAGACTGATTGGCACTCATGAAAGCTATATTCGTGAAGACCAAACCGGGTTTCGTCGAAGCCGTGGCGGCATTGACTACATCTTCACTTTGCGTCAGTTGTTGGAGCACCGTCACATATATTGGCGGTCCACCATTGTCGCGTTCCTCGATATCAAAGGTGCCTTCGATTCGGTGGATAGATGTGCAGTTTGGGACTGTCTACTCAGGAAAGGTGTACTTGTGAAATATGTAAATATTGTCCGAGCATTATACGCGCGTAGCTCAGGCAGCGTGAGGGCTTAAGGCAAGTTGTCGTCGCCGTTTATTATCTCCAGTGCTCTTAGACAAGGGTGTCCGCTGTCACCCTACAACTTCGCAGTTGACAAAGTCATGGAAATCGCGTTCACAGGACACGACTTAGAAAGTATGCATCTGCTCCCAGCAGAACGACTTCTTGACTTGGAGTATGCTGACGATATTACCCTAATCTGTGACAGCTCACAAACGTGCGAAGCGGCACTGGACAGATTAGTCCTGGCTGTCCCTCACTTCGGGCTTTGCTTCGCACCCTCGGAGTGCAAAGCGTTCCTCCAAGATTGGCCTGGACCGCCTCCTACGCTGACCGTTGGTGGGGATCAGCTAGAAGTCGTACAAAAATTCAACTACCTGGGAAGCTGTATCAATGCCCGTGGAATTGAAGATGAGATCACGACCCGTATAGCAAAAGCTCGAGGCGCTTTTGCTAACCTTCGCCACTTATGGCGCCTGCGCGACATCACTCGCGGTAAAGAGTAGTGTATAATGCAGCGGTATGTTAGACCCTCCTATACGGTTGTGAAACCTGGCCCCTTAGACTAGCCGACATAAAGAGGCTAGTTACGTTCGACCACCGATTCCTTCGCAATTGAACCCACATCTGGTGGGAACACCGAGCAAGCAACAAGCATGTTCGACGCCTGGTTTATGGCACAGAAAAAAGGAACTGAGCCGCTCAGCACCTCTATTTCACGCACCAGGCACCGATGGTTTAACCAGGTGTTGCGCATGCCAGCCCACCGACTCCCGCGACGTGCGTTGTTTGCTCGCCGGGTGTGTGGATAGAAGAGGAGGAGTGGTGGTCAAGCGATGACTTGGTCGCGAGGAATGAAGGCCCTTATTTCGACGTTGGCCTCGGTTGGAACGTTTCGGCTTCCTGGTTGGGGTCCGAAAGACGATTAATACGTTTGGCGAGAAACGCTTACTGTTATGGCGAGGAGCCGACCTCATTGGCGTTCGTGCTGTGCTTTTCTTTGTCCCACCCCATTCCTCTTAGCCTCCTCCTCCTCCAACCAAGATCTCACACTTTAGTCTTGTATAATATTCCATAGTAAATTTTTTTGCTGCTTAGTTGTCAGCTGGTAGTTTACCGGAACGATGCCCATCCGTTACCGGTAGCTCAGCTGACTTGCACCTGCTGTATTCCCCTCTTTTATGTATTGCGGCACAGTAGCTGCGATGTTTCCCGCCTGTAGCTAACGTGTGTAATGATGATGATGATGATGCCCCCGAGTACCTGGTTTTACGGTGGTATTCACTTCGCCTTAGCATATTAGGTTTCAGTTTTATTCGCATCCCATATTTGTGATTTTCTTATTTGGTCGTCTTCTATTTGTCAACACGGTTGGTGGTCACACCTCACCATAGCCAACATACATGCGTCTACGCGCTCCCTATAATTGTCCCTATTGGACGCATTCCCTTTAACTTCTAACTGCGTGGTATTGTGCATACCTCACTCAGGTTTATGTCAACCACAACCTTCACTTGGTCGTATTTCAAATGCGCGCACCTCCGTTTCCTGGATATCAAAGAACATTAATTCGCGAGTTCTCCATATTTCTGAATGAGTTTCGTTACAAGCGGTTGATCCTGTTGTCCAGCAGTTTCGCTACGCAAAGAAAGGTGGGTTTTTCGCTACCCTGTTTGACCGTGTTACGACTTGATTTCCCTGAAAAAACCGTGGTGCTGCTGGTGCCTCATGTTTTTATTCCCTGGTTTTGCTTTTTAAACCAGTTTGCACGAATGACTTGCTTTTATTACAATTCGGATCGCACATAAATGCTCTAGTTGTGCGCATCGTCGGCTTATGCTTCTGGACCCATCTGTTTCATATTCTTGACAGGTGAAGCTAGACAATCATTATGCATCCGAATGCATGTCTTTTCAGTGTTTTACACTATCTACTACAAATATGATAAAACAGCACCAAATAAATATGAGCATTTTACTGGTGTAAGAACGGAGTGGGGGAAAAGTGCACTGATGTTACTTAAGTAAATAGTCCCACGTCTTTGGGTGACGATTGAATGTTGAAAGAAAGGATTATAAGCTTCTTTATCCGGTTGACAAGTCGAACTTTCGTTTAAAAAGTTTCTGAACAGCTTGTTTCATTTGGATGAAAGTAGCAAACGGCTAGTTATGCGCGGTGTCTCGAATAAATTTTCAAAGAATCGGTAGAGTTGTGTGACCTCGGTGACTTTGCAATTTTTTTCCAAAGTATTCGTCAAAATATTGATACAAATTTGATACGTTCGTAATATCTAGTGCAAAAGCGATCTTTCAGGCAAAGCGGCAACGGCCAATTCAAAGGCCTCGCCTTCTGTACCTCTTATTTGTCCACACTTTGCTCTGTTACCTTACTTGTAATCGTCTTTGGATTGCGACGCGTGCGCTATTTGGATATTCTGACACCCGAAGTATTACCCTCATTAGCGCTTTCGACTTCCTACATCAGAACATTAAGACAAGGCATCAGCATTACGCCGGTACACAATACCGATGCTTCGCTGCCGCGCAACCACCGCCGATCGCACTTGGGCTAAGGATACTGCGAGGGTCGCCCGGCCCCCACGCAGTCTCGAACCCGCGCCGTCAGATTACAAGGCAAGCTGACCAGAAAGTTATCTTCATGACGCGTTCTACGTCGCAGCGGAAGCTTGACTGAGTCATGCGCAGTCTCAAGACACACTTAGGCATTTTTGCTCTTCACTTACACGGGCTACTAAAATTGACCTTACGTTTTTTATATTTTTCCCTAAGTGCTTATTCGGAGAGCAGTCTTCGCCCCAGCCTATAGTGAATTACAGTCCAGTTTTGTGTGCTGGATATCCATGACAACGATCTCTCTCTACTTACTACAAAAACAGTCTGTGATCGACCTGAGGACTATGCACGATACTAGTGATATTTGGAATTTTACCGTGAAAACAACCATGCTCTTCGCTCTAATCAAAGCGTTACACGGTTAAAGCAAGCGTATCACGTCTGCGAGCTCGCGTACCAGTACCTCATTCACACCCGCTGCAAACACAATCCAAATAAAAACGGCTTCAGTGAACCTCCGTCAACCAGCTTCGGTCGTCGCATTGAAGTGCGGCAAATCCAATTTTGCCATGAACAAAAGCCTCCAAAATCATGTCTAAACAACTACTATTTGGAAAAATAAAGAGAAAGAGTTATACTAGTCCGACGGAACAAATACTCACCGAGAACAAATGATCGTATACTAGAGCTCTACAAGCATCGTCTCCGGTATCCAAATGAGTAAACGTCAACAGGAATGCGAATATTGTCAGCCAACTTATACGATTCGATTTACACAGACCGATCGTCAGCACCAGCCAGCCTGTTTTCAAGTGTTTGTGGATGGGCAATGATGTTATCCACTTGGTGCCTCACTAGAAATAAGCAATACTTCGCAAACGACGTTGGTCAGGGACAATCTACATCTTTATGCTTCTGTGGGTGGTAGTTTATTCTCTGCGACGTTGTACATTCGAGCCTTTAACGCTTCGCTTTCGCCTTGCTCTCTTAAGATTCTAAAACAGCATATGCTCCAATACTACGCACGATGTGCTCTAAATATCGTACCAGATTGAACGGATAGACCAACCGAGCGAGCCAGATAGCCAATGGGAGACTGGCTTAACGGATTCAGTTGCTGAACACGGATTGGCCGACATTCGTGTGAGTTATTCACTGTTGGTGAGTCAATGGAGGATACTCATCTACTCAGAACGGTCGTCAGTTATGTACGTGAATGTGCAACTTCTATCGAGGCATTCGGCTTGCCAAATATGCTGTACTTTTCGCCGAGTTGACTTAGCTGAATAAACGCTTGTGCCTGGAGGACTGAGTTCTGCAACATGCTTTCCAGTGTTTCGAGCACCAATGGTGATACAGCTGCCTGGGTTTATTGGCCGACTGACCAACTCAAGTGACTGCTAGGTGACCGTGGGAATCAGTTATACTTCGGCTCAACGCTGCGAACTTTTCAAGCGCAATGGTTTCGAGGCGAGCAGTACGGCTTGGCTTAAGGATTTGCCACCACTAAATACGACTAAATTAAACGCGATCTGTAAGTCTGCAAAAACGAATACTATGGTTTACCTAGATGCATAACCCTGCCCCAGCGCCCAGCGGAGGGTGAGTGTAGGGTCAATGCCACTTATAACAAGGCAGGCGCCGGTCCCTCCCATTAATTTTACCTCCCAGGGAATCGTTGATCCACCTTTGTCTTGTGCTTGAAAGCAGTTAGATGACAGTTTCAGCTGTACCAAGTCTTCATTTATTAACAAACGGTGATCGAAACTTCGATAACACAGTTATGCATTCATAACATTGCATGTAGTTTTTAGGCCGACAACTGTAGAGTCGTCGTCGTCGTCCTTTACTTATGATATGAATAAATGATATAAATAAAAATAAATAAGTAATTTATTAGACTGTGCGGGGCACAGCCCAGGTTGCTGGTCCGATCAAATAGTACAAGGGGATCGCAAATTTGTTGCTTTTTTTGCATAAATGGACAAAGTACGCGGGATTTTAGTTTTGAAGCACGAGTCATTTAACACAGTCAGCCAGTTTCTCTAGAAACTATCAATCCTGTGTTGGTTGCTAATTCGCAGGTATTGCATGATATCCGTTTGTGTTAGTGACATGCTAGCTTGCGGTTTATTCTGTCCTTGCAGCGGATTGAGTGGTGAGCGAAGCGCTGCAGGCGAGAGCGTTATTGTGTGAATGCAAGACACCAATCGGCCAAATTTATTCGTAGATTTCTCTGTAGTACTTGAGCGAATCTCGGGGGAAGGGTCATGTTGGAAAAATATGACGTTGAACAGGTTATATGATTAACAAATGGAGAAGGCTACTGCGATAATATGAGGTTAACAAATTTAACTTGCTGTCGAAGAAATGTGACACGTCTATGATGGTGTGTTCAGTAGCATCCAATGAGTAAACATGGTTACGGCATTTTAACTGATTCATATCATGTTCAGGATGGTCCTTCATTACGATGGGTTACGCCTGTGTTCCCATAAATCCTCATTGGGCTTGCTAATATTTCGGGATCCGTAGCGGAAGTGATACTCAAGAATTGGTTTAAGGAGGCGCGAAACTAATTGCCTAGTACATCAGTGTTTAATGCTTTTCGGTTTCGCGCGTAGGCGTATCTGTGACAGTAGCAATAGCAACCATCGGAACGAGCATTGTAGAATAATTGGACAAGAACAGTGTTACAGTTGTCGGGTAGAAGAGGATGAGTAACCTGTTGGTTTTTCCTCATAGGCTTCTATGTGAACCTGAAAACCTTGAAGTAAGTATGGCCGGTTAATGAGAGGATATAATAGGAGCCCAAGTGTGAAAACGAGGACTCGGTTTATCTTTCATCGTTGACCTTTATTTAGACGTAAAAGCCTCATGATTGGTGTGACCGAGTAAAGTAAATGCAGAGGGGGACTCGGTTTAACACTCCTCTTCAGCCGCCATATTGATATGGGAACGTTGAGGTTGATATGGGGAGAACGAATACTGTATTATAGAGCAGGTAGGAATGAATTCTGTACAACTCTTTCGAAATATGGTGAAAAACGCCATAAAAGTTAAAAGTTGTCAGCCGTGAATATCGTTATCGTTCTCATATAACATTTAAAATATCTGACACGCGTTATTGCGGGACTCACAAATGTGACATGTCATCGTAAGTGTGCAATCGTTCTCTGAATCGAATAGTGGTAAGATATAAGTCCAACAACGTTTTGAACTATTGCACAGATGTGGTCTCTATCTCATGTTCAGGCAAACTCTTCCAAATATTTACCACTCTTCCTTCGATGCACAATGGGTGGGGACATCGCTTCACATCCCGCACGACAAGTTTGTATCTGTGTCCGCGTGTGCAGCATTTGTCTCAGCATGGGGAAGTCACCGAGATGCAGACTATGGTAGGTCATACTGAGGTCAGCTCACACCCGACGGTTGGACAACGTGTAGAATCCTAGTTTCTCACACCGGTCTCCATACTTCCAGCCATATCGACTAGAGATGAGCCTGGTAGCAACGTGTTGAACCCGTTCGGTCTTTTGTGCCTTGCTTCGGATAATCGGAAAGTATGCAGGCGAACCGTACTCTAGCATTGGTCTAATGGTGGAAGAGAAGAGGCGAGTGGCAACCTTTTCCGAAGATGTGCCGAAGCTACGTACGTTTATGTGCTCAATCCATGTGCAGTCCGTTACGATATAGCCTGTTCTTGTTGTCCACGGACTTCGAATGGTAGCGTGACAGTACACCTAGGTCCTTCACGGAGGGTGTGGGATATAGGGGTTGGTCGTCAAAGGTATAGGTTCGGCCGTCAGCACCATTTCCCAGACTCATAAATACAGACTTGGCTGGGTTGATCGGGAGATTAACTTTTGCAGACCATGTGGATAGGCGCTTGAGGTTTTGCTGAAGTAGGCCACAGTCATCGGGAGCGTCGATTCCTCTCCAACTCTTCATATCGTCCGCAAACAAGGCACACGGCGACCAGAGAAGCTGAGGTAGATCGTTGATCTGGATCAGGAACAGAGTGGGCCCCAGCACAGTGCCTTGAGGTACGCCACTTGTAGAGGGATGCCAGTCAG